ATGGGGAGCTCCTGGTGATCTGGGCACTTTCTCCTTCATGTCACTGACCTGCCAGGAGCCGCTTTAGGACATGGATCCCAAAGGAGCAAGAGGGAGCAGGAAGCGCCGCTGATCCTCACAGACCCCTTTGCCTGCTGCTGCCCCACAGGAAACAGGTCAGTGGAATGGTTTCTTTCCTCCCTACCCCACCTTCCTCTCCTGCAGCAGCTGCTCTGTTCCTGCCTCCCTCTCCCGGTGATCGCAGTGCCCTCCCCTGTCCCCCTCCTCTGCCCTGTGCTCAAAGAGCCCAACCCTCCCACCTCTTTCTCCCACCCCTGAATCTCTACTGCCCTCCTTCCCTGCACATCTCACTCCTCCCCATTGTTTCCTTCCCTCTGCAGGGAGCTGCTGAGGAGCTGCATCCCTGGATTCTCCAAGCACTGACTGCCCATCCACGCTGACCACAGCCAGGGGCCACATCCCACTGCCTGCCCAGCATCCATCCATGGAGGTGACCACCGTGTCCCCACGTCCTCTCTCACCCACTGAAGGGGACCATCTGTGTGAGACAGATGTATCCACCATGGCCACACACAGTGTGACTCTGCTCATCTGCCTCTGTGGGCTGGCTGGGAACGGGGCTGTCCTCTGGCTCCTCAACCTGAAAAGCTATAACTCTGGCATCTTTAAGCTGGCTGTCGCTGACTTCCTCTTCCTTCTCCTCACAGTCCCCATTGCCTTCCTCTTCCTGGTGGAGGACGTGTCCTGCTCTCCTGTCATGCCCATGCTGTACCTGCGTTTCCTTTTCCAGCTGTCAGTGGTCTCCTACTACTGGGGGCTGTTCTGGCTGAGGCCTGGTGGCACTGTGCAGTATATGGACAAGATCCTACGGCGCTGCCGCAAGGAGCTTTCTGAGCGAATGTGGTTGGTGGTGGGGAGTGTTCAGTCCTGGGCCTTCTTTGCTCTCTTCACTGTCATTCCCTCGGTGATATTCCTGTGTCAATCACAAGAGCAGGAGCACTGCCGTGTGCCTCTCATCTCCCTTTACACCAGTATCCTGCTCTTCTTTGCTGCACCCGTGGCCATTTCTGGCACAATTGACTTCATTAGGGCCAAGTGGGGCTCCCAGCAGCAGCAGCCCAAGAGGCGTGACGTGGTTATCCACATCACTGTGCTGTTAACTCTTCTCCTCAGCTTCTGCAATTTCCTGCAGCAGCTCGGTTACATCGATGTGCCCTCCCAGGCTGTTTTCTTGCTCGCCAGCATCAACAGCAGCATCAAACCCTTCATCTACTTCTTGGCAGGGAGCTCCTGGAGGGTCTGCTCCATGGCGAGCTGCTGGAGGCTCTGTACAGTGGGGTCCCTCCGTCTCTACCTTCAGAGGGTCTTTGAGTAGCAGAAAGAAAAAACAGCCCACAGCAATGATGACACCAGGAACACAGCAGTCTGAGCCTGCTGATCCCTTCCACTGCTCTGCTGGAGGACCTCAGCACAGAGGCTGAGGGTTTTCCTTGATATTATTCAGGAATTCATGATTAATAAACATCCATGGGATCACCCTCTCCATAGTGGTGTATTCCTGCAGGAGAAGGGAGCACGGGCATTGCCTTGGGTGATTGTTGTGGGATGCTCTGCAGGGAGCACATTGGAACATGGCTTTCCTCCTCCCTCCTGGATCCACATGGCTCCAAGCAGTGCAGCTGGGCTCAGTGCTGTTCCCCAGCTCTATTCCCCATGGAATGACCCTCATGGCCTCGGCCCCAGGGAATGAACTCCATCTCCTCTGGCTCAGCAGATGAGTTTCATGGTGTTTTCAGGGACCTCTTGCCTGCAAAGCATGGGACACCTTAATCCCTAGGGACACACCCAGCACGGAGTGGCAGTGATTTCCCAAATCCCTGCACATCTGGTGCCTCTGGATGGTAGGAGAGGGGCTGGGATCACACGCAGCATCCTTCCCCTTCTGTCCGGCAGAGCCAGCCCTGCATTCCCAGCTGATGGGAAGGGACACCAGGTAGGGCTGCAGAGCTGGGGAGGGACAGCAACATTCCCTTGTCCTTTCAGTGGGAATTTGTCACATTCTTAAATTCCAGAATTGAATCCCTGTGAGTAAAGTGCAGAGTAGACAATGAACTCCACTGAACTCCTTTGCCTGTATCCAGAAAGTACATGGTGTATGGAAATCCCCTTCACCAGATGGGAAATGCTTGGACCATTTAATTGCACAGAAATTAGGGGGTTCTGCTGCTCTTCTGCAGAATGGGGCCATCCATCCTCTGGTTCCACAGCATCACTGTCTGAGGAAGCCCTTGACCACCTCCATTCTGAGCCTGGCCACCCTCAGGAGGAGCTGAACAGCGACTTCACAGCAGCTTCAGCCACAGGCCAGGCTGTGCTGATCTTTGTCATTTTGTAACTACCCCTCAATCAGATTTGGATTTCTGGGGTTGTTTGATTCCAATGTGGTACAACTGACTGTAGGACATGGGGTTATGATTGTTAAAGTCGCTAAGGCCTGCGCTCACCAGAAGGCCCTGAGGGAAAGGCAGAGCTGCAGGCCGGGTGGGTGGGACTCGGCTGAGGGCTGAGAGGCAGTCAGGAGTGAGGGGCGAGTCAGATGGGAGTGAGATCCTGATTGGCTGCAGGAACACGTGGCCAGTGCATGAGCAGGAAGCTGATTGGATGGTAGGAAACGTGGAGAGTTTATGGGCACGAAGCTGATTGGATGGTAGGAGACGTGAACAGTGTATGAGCAGGAAGCTGATTGGACAGCAGGACGCATTGATAGCAGCACTGCAGCTGAGCCAGCCAATGGGTGCCCTCCTTCCTTTAAGTTCTGTTAGGCCTCGGTTTGGTTTCCATTATGTCAGGTTGAGATTAAAGGTATAAACATCGGCCAATTTTTACAATGAAGCGACCTCCTTTGGATACAAAAGGGGGTCCGTGTTCCTTTGTTCCAAGTGCTGCAAATGGCAGGCCCAAATCAGGACCTATAAAGGCGGCCCAGGATGTGCTGTCCGGTCCAGTAGCAGCTTCCACTAGGTCAAGGAACTGGCTGAGAAGAGCCTGGGAAAAGGATCCAGGGAAGGATCTGAGAGAAGTTCGGGAAGGAACTCAGGAATTTAAAAGTCCACGCACCTCTCCTAGGGGTTGTGTAGTCCTGTGGGAGAACGTATTGGAGGTGGAATGTCCCTGGAACAAAGCAGGAGCT